ACACTTAAAGTTCAATTCATTAAATCAATCATAGTATGATTCAATTGATTATGTTTCATTCTTCTTGAATTCTACGAACTCTAGCAAGCACTGTTTGACTGAATTCTTCTTTATCTTCTCATTTCCTTAATATTTCTCCTTTACTGTATCCCAAATTTGCTTTGTAGTTTTGCATCCTCAAACGTAATTGTAGACTACTGGTGGAAGAGCACTATGTAATTCACACATATATTTCTTATCATTTTCCTTCATCCTAGATCCTTTTGTGATCATGTCATCAGAACTTGTAGACGTACCAACATCAACTAGCATCGCCTGGAAAAATTCTCCTCTTTTGATGGATCTTATCAAATCTTCATCAATCTCATTCAAATAATCCTTCATCTTGTCAGCCTATTGCTCATAATATTCCAAAATCAACATCAGAATCTTTGTTGATGATCCGAGCAAGTGAGAGAAATTAAACATTGTGTTCATGTTGAAATTCGCCATTATTGAACGAATTTTGAAGAAAGAGAATTTTTATTCAAAACGAGATCTAAGACAGAAATCAATCTGAGATTTACCATAAATTAATCGATTTAACGCAGAGTGCAGAATCAATTCAATACAAACAATTGACACCCGTTTCCTGATTCAATTTGCAAAAGATTTTGAATTGGAAAGAGCGATTCAAAAAAATGAAAATTTACGAGAAACTTCAATTGATTGAGAGAATCCTGCTCCGATACCAATTAATATGAGTTAGAGATTGTCTAAAAACACGAATAAATTAATAAAAGTTGAAAAATGAACACAAGATCTAAATAATATTTGTTTGACTCTATTAACATCTAAAGATTACAAGAGTGTTTGAGTACAAATGTTAAATGATATTGTGTTCGATGCCACTCCACTCTATGTACTTACTATATTCAATACAACCAATTGACACCAGTATCGTGATTCAATTTGCGGAAGATTTTGAATCGGAAAAAGCGATTGAAAAAAATGAAAAATTACGAGAAACTTTAATCGATTGAGAGAATTCTGCTCTGATACCTTGATATGAGTTAGAGACTGATTAAAAACACGAATATATTAATAAAATCTGAAAACAAACATACGATCTAAATAAGACGTGTTTGGCTCTATTAACGTCTGAAGATTACAAGAGTGTTTGAGTACAAATGCTAAATGATATTGTGTTCGATGCCACTCTACTCTATGTACTTATCCTATTTATAGGATATGATATGTGCATAATTAGTTAATTATTTAGCATATATTCTTAGTAATTTTTGATTAATTATGTGAATAATGTGGACAAAAGGTACTTAAAATGTTGTGAATTGTGTTTTCAATCCAAAAGATATGCTTGGAAGCAAAAAGGAGAAAAGGAAAGCAATTGAAGATTAAAGAGTGAAAGAAGGAGATATACTCGGCGAGTAGATCGACCCTACTCGGCGAGTACACGAGGATATTCCAGAAGATAAATACGACTTGCTGATTCAAGACGGATAAGTATGGATCTACTCGGCGAGTTGATTCTGCTACTCGCCGAGTACACCCTGTTTTGGGATATCTATAAAAGACGAATCCTTATCTCATGGGAAGGGACCCCTGGCGATTTTTGAAGGATTAGCTGCGACTAAGAGATTCAGAAGGCGCTAAGGAACCCTAGGCTTCAATAGTTGGAAGAATTCAAGCAATTAGGTTAATTCTACCACTTAGACTTAGGAATTGAACATGTTTGCTTTAGTAAACTTTGTTTTTATGTTTGTTTCTACTGCAATTATGAGCTAAATTCGTTTTTGTTTCTGTTTGGGGAATACCAAAGAACTCCTATGGTTTAATTATTGATTTTTGCTTAATTGTCTATTTGGTGATTTATTAAATTAAGTTTGTTAAAGAACCTTATGTATTAATCACTACTATTTTCTGTTAATTGGAAGGCAATTAGGTTGCATGAACATCACTTAATTGTTAACCTCATATGTCTATGTGAATGCTAAACCATATGCTTAGAAGTAATGATTATGAAACTAAGATTAATAAGAAAATAGGAAGATTAATGTGTGAGCTTGTTTGAGAAACCATCAACAAGAGGTTAATTGAATTAATAACTTAATTAACCATTACAAATCTTATTTAATCCAAATAATTAATCTAGGGAATTAATTAGTTTAAACACTTGATCAACGCTTAAATTAGTTAATTGTCTAAGGGTTAGGAGTAATGAATATGAACCTAACTATTATAATTGGTAACCAATAGCAATTAATCACCTTAACTTAAATAACCATAGGAGTGAATTGGTTGAACCTAAATAGAAATATCTTTATCAAATTTGGTAAATAGTTGTTGCTTTAGTTAATTTAGTTTGTCTAAGTTTCTAGTCTTGCAAAACTAGAGAAAACCCCTTTACTTTTATTATTTGTTTTAGTTAAAATTAGCTATTAGTTTAATTTTCCGTTCCCTGAGTTCGATACCTCACTTATCAATCTATACCACTTAAAGACAGGTTCACTGCCTTTGTGTGCTCAAATTATTAATAAAAGTAGGATAAAACTAGTTGAATTTACACACATCAAGTTTTTGGCGCCGTTGCCGGGGAACGGTTCTAAATAATTAAGCTAATTCCTAATTTTTTTCGATCCTTTGTGTGAGTTTACTTGCATAAAGTTCATTTATTGCAATTTAGTAACTGGTAATTAGGTTTTAGTATCTGTTTTAGTTAGTTTAAAACTTAGAAATTTTTTTTTTAAATATCACTGATACTCGCCGAGTGCAATCGCACCTACTCGGCGAGTAGCAGTTTAGTCAGCAGTAGATTTTCTTTATTTTTTACAATCTTTTTGTTCTTTTTACGTTTTTTTTTATTTGATTGATTTCAGGACTTTCATGACCAGAGGAGCAACACACCACTGGTACCCCCGTTTGAAGACCCCGAATCCGCATTGAAAAGAAACAAAGGGAAGGACGTGGAGAGTTCAAGCACACCAAAGAAATCACATTGTCCAACTTGAAGACTGTTTTTGGGAAAAAGAAGAGCAGTAAATCAGGAGCTTCTAGCGCTTCTTTGATAATTGAGGAGCCAATTCAAGAAGATATTGGATACGAGACCGAGGAAGAAGAGGAGGCAACGTACGAGCAAGAAACCGAATCGGAGGAAGAGTTAGCGTTCACTATGGCTAACATTGATGAAATCCCCATGGGAGAATGGAAGAAGAGGATGCGCGACGACCATGGCCCGGGACTTGTGCAACCCGCAATTCCCGCGACTGCTACCTTCGAGCTAAAAGGTCATATCCTAGCTTCACTCAAGGAAATACCTTTCTATGGGAAAGATCATGAAGATGCCTACAAACATTTGGATGAAGTAAATGATGTTGCTGATTACTTCAACATTCCAAATGTAACCCGCGAAACTCAACTACTTCGTATGCTTCCGGTAACCTTCAAGGGTGCTGCTAAAGACTGGCTCAAGTCACTTCCCCCCGGATCAGTCACTACTTGGGCCAGAATGAAGGAAGAATTTATTGATCACTTTTGCCCACCATCCAAGATAGCCAAACTGAAGAAGGCCATTGCAAACTTTGAACAACAAGCTGGAGAGTCTTTATATGAAGCATGGGAGAGGTACAAAAGTTTGCTAAGAAATTGCCCACACCATGATCTAAACAGCAGCAAGAAGTTTCCATCTTCTATGATGGAGTCAATGTCACGACCCGACAGTTGCTAGACTCACAAGGCCCACTTACAAAGAAGCCACCCCCGGTGATTAAAGAATTGATTGAAGAATTCTCTAAACACTCTAGAGAATACCACAACCCTAGGAATGATGTCACGAGGGGATCCGCGTACGCTACTACTGAAGATTTATCCGCGGTCATGGCCATGTTAAAAACCATGGATAGGAGAATGGACAAAATAGATCAAACTATCCATGCTATACGGGTGGGTTGTGAAAACTGCAATGGACCTCACCTCACTAGAGATTGCGATTTGGATGAGCATGGCAACAAAAAGGCACAAGCATGTTATTCGAGCGGTGATCGGTATGATGAGGACTGGCGCAAACAAAAGAAAGAGTGGCTGCCTTACGAAGAGTACAAGAAGGCCAAGGAGGAGAAGTATAGACAAAAAGGGAGAGGCTTTTACCAAAAGGAGGAGCCGGTGCAAGAGAGGAAGCCAAGCTTGGAAGATATGCTTACTAAATTTGTGGCCGCTTACGAGAAAAGACATAGTGACCATGATGCTGCTATCCAAGAAACAAGAACAATGCTCAGGAACCAGCAAGCATCCATCCACAACATAAAAACGCAGCTTGGGCAACTTGCTCAACAACTAAACCAAAGGTCACCGGGTGAGCTTCCTAGCAAAACCGAGAACAACCCACGAGGCGCACAAGTAAATATTGTCACAACAAGAAGCAGGAAGATCATCACTCCCCTGGCCCCCATTCGAACTGAAGCAACCAGGGACTCACAGAAGGAAGGAACGGAAGAACAAGTAGAAAACCAAGATTCACAATATGAGAGTCCTACTCGCCGAGTAGGGCCGATGGACTCGGCGAGTACCCCTGTTAAAACGAATGAACAGCCTCCCTTGAAGCCATACCAGCCTCCAATGCCATACCCAGCCCGAGCCAAGAAAGAGAAGCAGGAAGAGGAATATCAGAAGTTTCTAGACCATATTAAAACTCTTCAAATCAACATTCCTTTCATTGAAGCCGTCATGCAAATGCCCAAGTATGCTAAGTTCCTTAAGGAACTCATCACAACAAAGAAAGATGGAGGAAGTGCAGAAGGTAGTGCTTAATGAGAACTGCTCCGCCGCAATGCTAAACAAGTTACCAAAGAAGAAGGGTGATCCGGGGAGCTTAACTTTACCTTGCCAATTTGGCAACTTGGCTGCAATTCATGCCTTAGCTGATTCTGGAGCAAGTGTGAACCTTATGCCATACTCGTTCTTTTAAGAAGCTAGACCTCCCGGAGCCAAGGCCAATTCGAATGGCAATTCATTTGGCAAACAAGACTGTCACTTTCCCAAGAGGCATTTGTGAAGATTTGCTAGTGAAAGTGGACAAATTTGTCTTTCCGGCTGATTTCATCATTCTCGACATGGAGGCGGATCCGCAAGTTCCAATTATCCTTGGAAGGCCCTTCCTCAACACAGCTAGCGCTATCGTAAACACGAGAGATTCTAAGCTCACATTGCGAGTTGGGGACGATTCA